GTGAGATTTCCCATTCTCATTATCAGTCAAGGATCAACGAGAATGATTTTGTTCGATCCATTCGTAATATCTGTCCAGTACCTCCACCTGATTGTTATGAACATGAACCAGAGCATGATTTAAAGAGATTCTTCATCAATGATGACCGCATCATTTATTTGGATGGCAGGTATCAGGTCGATCCAAAGGCCCTTGAAAGGGCAGAACATGCTCGAAAAGAATTGGAGGAGACGAAGAAGGAACTCAAGAATGAACTGGAAGAATATGGTCCCAAGGGACCCAGTTGGGACTTTGTCACCTTCTATGAAGAGCTGTGCAGAAGGTTCCTCAAGGGAAGAATAGAAGAACCATATGGAACTAATTTATTGGCCAGCTCAGAGTCCTTGACATTTTTATCCTGGAACTATGGCAACATGGTTCGTGGTCAGAAGTACACCACACCAAGGTTTCTCCAAGGACTTGATGGTGCAATGAAGCCACGCAAACAGAGCGCCATGTCACTTCAGAATGAGCAATTTGAGAACAACCTTTTCTTCAACATGCTCTTCTTTTTACGTGCACATGTCGTGATTCTCCAGGAAGCTCATCTTCTTGTTCCTGCCAAGGAATTTATTGAGCAAAAGAATTGGACAGTTTGTTTCAATGATTGGGAGAATCTTGCAGTGATGGCTAGATTGGCACCAGGTGGATATGTCAAGATCATTGCTGGACATGACCAAGATCTTGGTCACTGTAAACAGCGTGATGTAACTTGGGCTATCTACGAGATTTGTTTTGGAGAAACAAGGCCTCGTCAAGATTTCAAGGATGCAGACTTTGAATTTGATGACTATGGTCCTGAGGACAAGCGTGTTCCACTTACTCGAGCGAACATGCATACCATCAGAGTCTGTAATTATCATGTTGATACACACCGTGCTGTGGATGCCCACCTACTGACAGGAGAACAGACAGCATTGATGCTTTACGAGTGTTTTGTCTATGAGGTGGACATCATTTCTGGTGATGCAAATAGTTTGGCCTACAGAATGTCTGGGTACAAAAGGCAGCCAATGGCTAACTACTATTACAGCACCATGCAGCATTGGATCCGCAGGTTTTCAGAAGCCCGTGTAAAAGCAGATCCTGGTATCAAAGCACCTATTCCCAGAACTTTTTACAGTTCAACTTCACAGGTCCTCAAGAAGTGTGAAGATTACTTTGACCAACTCTGGGAAGAATATTCTACTGTTGAAAAAGAAGAATACCAAGGATCACAGCTTGGCGATACATGTTTGTCTACCATTGTTGAATGGGGTCATTCAATGAGTGAAGAGGAATATGAAAATTCCACAGTGAGCACGAAGGAGTTCATCTGTAATTTTTCAGAGAACTTTGCTATGATTGACACAGAGGTTATGTGCTCAAGGCCCACTGACGAGGACAGTCATGGTCCAATGTTTATTTCACTCAGACCAGCTTCCTTTTCATCTGGAGACAGAAGACAGTATCGCATGGGACCAACTCTTCATGAGGCGAACTTGCGGAGGAAGGAGAGACAAAAGCAGAATAGAAAGAAAGGAAGGCCGCCAACTTCTGGTCAAGCAGCTTCATCGTCTGCAGCGGCATAATTCCTGAGCGAAGGCTGAAATTTAAATGATGGCTAGGAAGTGAAGATACTTCTGGTTACAGTTGATACTTTGCTTCCAGGCTTGACTTTAAGTTGCCAGGCTGAAGTTTTAATAAATTCTGGTTTGCAATGAGGAGAAACTTTTTATCAAAGAAGATACTCCTGCATTCCAGGTTTATATGCTTTAGCATGTAGATAGGTATGGACAGTTTTACAGAACTGATGATATCTATCACCACCGCTCTGATGAAGTGACCTCTAATGGACAACCAGTCATGGTTGATGATTAAGTCATTTCATGATTTGCATTTGTAGTGCAAGATTTTTTGTACATACATTTGCCGGTATCTCCTTCTTGTGTTTTTGATGTGAATGTGAAAGAGAGTCCTTTTGATGCAGTTTTATTTTGTCTGTGAATGAAAGCGGTCGAGACCACGTCACGAGAAGATTATTCCTCGGACCGTACGCTCCTTGCATTTTGCAAGGCATCTTAATTCATTGCATTGCGCGGTCTTGAATTTTTAGTTCTTTGTTACGCGAGTGTCGTTTGATTCTTTTATAGGTCTCTGTAGAGAAAAAGCCGCTTTCCCTTTTTAGTTTGATTTAGCTCAGGCCATAAAGAGCTAGTGAGCGCCGGTACATGGTATCTCCGCCTGCGAAAAGTACAGTCTCCAGCCGAGGTACATTATCGATTTGATTTTGTACTTGAGGTGAGTCAGCTATTGCTCCCTCACTGTATTTAGTAGCTATGAGATACCTTCTCTGAAGTGTGAAACACACTGGATTAGGTAAGTACATGGCACCGTAGTTTTCTTTTAAGTTGTCAGAGCTAGCTGGACTGTTTTAGCCTTGCAGTAGAAAAAGAGTATGCGACATACGCAATCAGCTAGAAGTGGACATGAATCTTGTGCCTGCTGAAAAGTAGAGCCTACCTGTACAGGGTTCCACTCCAACAGCTGATATAGTGTGTCCATGCTTGACTGCTTCAAGGCTCAAGAGAGGGTCAATGGACCTAAGGATAAGACTCTGCGTGAGCAAAAGACACTAGCGGTCTGCACCTCTACCGTGTACGCCCTAGTCACTCTTTCACCCCCCCCCCTTTCAACTCCACCCTGGCGCGCCTCGGGGTCAACGGTCCGAAAACACTGTAAATACCAGTGTTTTCAGCTCTTCCAGTCCTCAACAGTGACAAAAAATCATGGAATTTACAGCGTTTTTTGTGGCTGTCCAGCAAAAAACACCGCAAAAACCGATGGTTTTTGATGCGTCTCGGTTAGAAAAATGACCGAAAAAAGACCAAAAACCAGGACAGATTTTGTCGGAAAGGGATTCTGAGGCTTTTGGAGGCTTCAAAATTGCACAAAACTATGGTATTTACAGGGTTTTGTGCACCTTCCCGGCAAAAAACGCCGGTATTTACACGGTTTTCTGCGCTTTTCCAGCACACAGCCGTGGTGCGCCTCTGGATCGACGGCTACAAAACACCGTAAATACCAGTGTTTTCAGCTCCTCCTGTCTTCAAGCGTGGCCTTAGACCTTGCCGCGGCTGTGGATCGACGGCAACAAAACCTCGTAAATACCAGTGTTTTTGAGCTCGTCCTGTTTGCAAGCATGGCCTGCGGCCACGCAATTTACAGGGTCGCAGCACGTCACTATGTAAATCCGAAGTTGCATTTGAGAAATGTGCATTAGTTTTTCTTTCATCACGCTCAGTCACTTCTCTTCAAACAAGTGGGGGGCCTCTCACCTCCTCCCGGATTACGCCTGATTCCCTGCTACCTTTCGTTCACCCCCCTCCTCCTCTCTCAAGTTTGATCCTGCCCACATGTGACTGAGAGATATATCATGAGCAGTTCTGAAAGTGACGAGATATGTGGCAAGCACCCATGGCTTCTCCGGAGCTGTCGGAGATTGATGTATCAAGCTGTAGAATTTACTTCAGCCCTGAATCCTTTTTTCATTGTCCTAAATCCTTTTTGGACGTGCAAATTGCTGTGCCGAGTGTTTTATGATTCAAGTTGATTCAAGTCTGCAAGTCTCAAAGGTCCTTGGCTGTTTGTTTGGACTGCCAAGCTTTTGGATGTTTGGCTCTTGGCTCACAAGCTTATGTGAGTCGTGCTCGGAACTTCTGCTTCATGATGGCGCAGAGCAGCAGGCGGAGATATTTTGGGCTTTTCGCGGCTCACATGCATTTCGCCTTGCTGTGTTGCAGCCTCTTTTCGGAAGGATAGACTGCTGATTTCGCCAGCGGAAAGATGATTTGAGGCATACAGCGCAGTATGCATAGTACTCCTTTGCAACGGCTCCGATAGGCGTGGCTTCGTGCCTTGGCAACGAACAGGTGTGGCTTCGCTTTTGCTTTTCTCCTTGTGCCGGGCGTTCGTAAACCAGGTTGGTGCACCCCGCAGCAGATTCGAAGCTAGAACGGCAAGAGGTGCTGGAGAGGTCAAAGAGGACAGTGACCGTCGATGCGGTTTTGAGTATGCTCAGATAGACTTGCCATCACGCCATTCTTTTCCTGAGGAGCCAGTAAGTTTTGAAGTCGGTGACTATGCAATTCTCGATGGATTCACGGAGCGCACCTCACTGAACGGTGAACCTGTGGAGCTCCTCAGATGGGATGAGGAGAAGCAAGGCTGGGTGGTGCAAAGCCAGATCGAAGATGTCAAGCGGCTGGTCTCGCTTCAAAATATCAAGCCCTATCCAAGGAGGCAAGCAACACCGGCTCCGAAAAAGGATCGCGAGTTCAACATCGTGAGCTTTTTAGCTACAATCCTGGGTACCATCATCATCGGCGGGACAGCCATCGCCGTGCTTGGGGTTTTGGGCCTCGCCTTTTACAAGGATTGGACTGGGGAATACTTGCTGACCTTGGACGGCCTCCCATCAACTACTTGATTGTTCTTTCCATCGTGCACATCTTGCATTGATTGTAGTCTGTGCTACAAGAAAACTAAACCTTTGTCTTGAGCAAGTTCGGTGAATGGCAGAGAGCGTTCTAGTGCCCAGACCCCCTTGCATTTCCATGCGTCACTGCCAGATACAAGCAGACTGCAACTTGAGGGCAATGAAAAGGGCGACGTGTTGACACTGTGGGGGTCCTGTGTTTGAGGTCAAGTGACTTGTTCTTTTCTTGCTGCATTTGTGGGCTTGTTGGGCTTTTGGCCTCAAGAACTGCGGGCGGCACGGCACTGCTTCGAAGTAGAAATTGCATTGGAGGCAGCCACCGTTCACTCATGACTTGCACCCTTGATGGGCTGAGCAAAATTGTTGAGCTTAGCCAGTCACACCCCACTTGAACCCACTCAAGGCTTGCTCACCATACGACCAGACGCACGAACAAACAAGACAACGGCAAAGAAAGACACAAATCTGTAGTTTCTTTGTTTGCCCCGATTGATCCTTCAGCCTTCCGTCTTCACAGCTGTCTCCAAGATGACTTACAGTGACCTTCCCCATGATGATGAGCTGCCGTTTGAAGAGGCTCCTAAGCACTTATCAGAGCTTTGAATGCTCCCGATGCAGGGAGATTTTGTGTATAAACTTCTTACATGCACATTCTGCATTCACATTGCTTCCGTAAGTATGCATAGCTTGGGCAAGTGAACGGGAGCTGAACTTTGAACGCTTCCAAGGTTCGTGCCACATTGACAAAGATGCAGTTTACAGATGAGGCAAGTCCAAACTCTTCAGCCTCTCGAAAAGGAATCATTTTTGAACAAGACATGTTGCGCTTGAGGAACTTCTTCAAGAACAGATCGTGGGAGGAAGTGGAAGTGTTGTGCTCAGTCGGGTGGAAAAAGTCCTAAAGGAGCTTTCCGGAGATTCTTAAAGGAGCTTTCCGGAGATTCTTGTAGAAGCAGGACTCGTGTGCCATGCGTCCATGGTGTAGCATGTCTTGAACTGCTGAGGCAAGACCTTCGTTGTTCTTGTCGCCGCATTTGCAGCACTGGGTGGGTTTCTGTTTGGTGAGGGCCTTGGCACCCCCTGATCTGAGTGGTTCATGCACCTACATGTATGGCCCAAAAGTGTGCAACCGATGTACATTGCCTTACACAGTGAGGTTTGGACCTTGGTTACATTTCTGGTGTGGAGTCTATGGCATCATTTAGTCAAGACGTTCTCAGCGGAGAAGAAATCGAATCCCTTGAAAAAGGACACGCTGCTTGTGTGCTGTTTAGCACCGGGTGTTCACCCGCATGCTGTAACAAAGACAATTCCGCTTTCAGGAACAGTGACCGGGATATTTGCAATTGGAGCTGTTGTTGCTGCTTTTCCGGCTGATCGCCTGGCATGCTGAACTGTGTAAGATTTCATGGCTCCCGTCTCCGATTCTAGATCTCTGAAGATTGCCAGGTGATCTCCTGCATTGTGGACAGGGTTGGCCGCAAAGGCTGTATGGTCCTAGGCCCCGCAACGGGAAGCGTGACGTGTATGGTGGATCTGAGTGTACGTGATTTTATGTTTGCTTTTCCAGTGGAAGGGTTCAGGGCTGAGCCGGTTGGATCATCTTTTGCAAGGTGGATTGACTTTCTGCCTCGGTGCTGCAATTCAGGGCCAGTGACCTCAGATGGGTGCAATCAGTGATGAGAATTTTTGACCGGTCACACCACCAGTACGTTTCGCTGCCCTGTTGCTGTGGCCCTTTGTATACACTAGGTCTTGATTTGTCAACTGGTTGTTGAAGCAAGGACGATTTGGAGGGCCTCAACGAAGACCTCTTTGAACAATTCCATTGCTTTACCAAAACAAGTTGAAGCAGAGGGCAGCATCAAGACGTTGAAAGTATGGTTACTGTATATAGAAGCAGCCAGGGGTTGAGGTGAGGGGCCTTTGCCAAACTTTCCCATTGGATGTTTTCTTTTCATCCATGATGGCACAGTACAAGCCAAGGTCTTGGGCGTGGGCGTGGGCGTGGTTGTTGTGGTTGTTGCGGTTGTGGTGCTTTGTGGTTGTGGTTGTGGTGCTTTGTGGTTGTGGT